GTGCGTAAATATTGGACAAATGTCCCTGTTCAAAAAGCTAAGTGTAATATGTGGGCAGTGCTCTATGACATAATTTCAAAAACGAAATTTTCCAAAATGGATTTGGGCATAAGGGGGCTTCTACCATACTTTAGTTTTGTAGGGTATCGCATGGTCGACCCCGCACGACTTTGCTTGCTTGTTAATGGCATACCTTCCTCTTTATTTTAAAAAAAATGTCATTACTTATTTTAATATAACGAATTCTAAAAGGAAACCGCGTCAAACTCCATACCTCCACTAGTCCAGTACACGTTAAACCTCTCTTAATGATTTACTGTTCATTTAAGGCCACCTAAATACCTCAGAAGATTTATTCCTATAGGAAGACCTCAAAGAGTAGAGCTTGCCAGGATTACTCATCGAAATTTCGAATCTAACTCCTTTGTAAATATCTGAGACATCTAACAATCCATGGCAAATAATTCTAAAATTGTTCATCACTTTAGCTTAAATAAACCTTTGACACCCAGTGGATTCCGGTCTATGGAAATCAATTCAAATCCGAAATCTAATCGAATACAATCACATTACAACATTGTTTTGTTCGCAAGCATCTTTAATCACCAATCACTTACAATTTCATTAAAAAGAAAACGAATAAAAACAACGTACTTTGGACCTTATCTCTTACAGTCGGACACATTGAACTGATCTATACGAAATTTCCCTCTCTCTCTCTCCATGTCGAACAATATGTGCGCACTTGATTGGTAAGCAAATGCCCTAAAATGATTATGTTGTGCGGCGTGTAAGTGCTCTAACCATAACATTCAACATAAAATCATTTATTCACGTTTATGAAGTCTAAACGTAACGAAAATAAATAAAACAGCGCAAAAGGAAAACAAAGAAACAAAACAAAATTAGATGACCACACGTTACGTTTCGGAAAACACTCGACAATTTTGGCAAATTGTCAGAAAAAGAAGCTGTGTGAAGAGCAAAACTGAAAACATTTGTGCGTACCTCACGCAAAAATATGTTAGAGGCTAATAAAGACGATGACGGTGGCAATGATGGTGATACTCTGTTGGTGATGGTTTTTAATTGTATTTGTATAAAACCACCAAATGGTGAAAGACACTGTGGTTTGGAAGACGATCTAATACAGATATTTGGAAAAAGATAATTAAATTGGTGTAATGTTATTTTATAAGATAGTAAAAAAAAATCATTGGCAAAATGAAAGTACTTTTAAGGCAACACCATAAACCCGAAATAGCTTTAGTCGTAGAGTTTATCGATATTTATTGTCGTACGCCTAAAAGTATGCTTTTCGATTAATATATTTTCATTAACAATTCATTCCTCCGAAATCATTAAAAGGCGCTAGTTTTCTGGAGTTGTGGCAGAATACAAATCTGTAATAACCAAATCAATACGTCAGTTCTTTTAGGGAAATAATCTACGTTACTATCCGATTTAAGGAAGTCTAGGAGCAGGTCCGGGCAACTAAATGGGGAGATAATGATGTGGATCATTACCAAAGAAGAAGAACTGGAAACCACCTTGATATGTATATTAACTTGGCATTCCGTTTGTAACATACCTAGATATACGTCGTAAACCCTATATAAGGTGAGATGAACAATCTGCAACCAACTTCAGACGGCTGTAATTTCTAAGCCACTCGTCCGACAGCTGTTAAAATGAATCCAGCTCATTATATTGTTTACAAGCGTACAAAAGCATTTTGGTGTGAATTTTCCAGAAGAAAAAGTATTCGTGATGGAATTCAAGCGTGATTTCTTTATATTTGGCTGGAAAACCACAAGTGGCTATCCTTAGAGCACTGCAGCATTGAAATGTAAATAAATCTTTTGTGTCTCGTACCATCGCTCGTTACCGTGATGCTGGTAGCATAGCCCGAAGTCAAGGAAGTTTACGGAAGAAAACAGCAACATCAGCAGAAATGCTTCGAAAAGTAAAGAAGCGACTTGATCGAGACCCGCGTCGCAGTGGCCGAAACATGGCTCGTGAGCTGAACATATCGCAATGTTCCATTGAAAAATGGGCTCAGGGTAAAGTCATTGGAATTCCAAAAAGTGCAATAACTTACACCGCAACAGAAAGAAAATAGACTCAAAAGAGCTAAAGAGTTGCTTCGTTTGGCCGAAAGTGGTGAACTGCCAAATTTGACTTTCTCCGATGAGAAAACATTCGTTGTCCAGCAGTTTGTAAACAAACAAAATGATTATGTTTACTTGCCAAAGAGGTCAGCTGAAAATGTGCACCTTCGGTTGGCCACCAGAACTCAAGCGCCGGCCATGGTGATGGTGTGGGACGCCATAACAGCCGACGGCCGCTCTCAACTTGTATCTCCACTTGTATTAATCGACCGAGACATCAGAATAAATGCCGAATATTATATATTAATATTGTAACTGGTGTGTTTTGGAAAGCAAGGTTGGCACTAAAAAATACCAAAGGGTCGATCACCTCAAGCAAGCGCTTCGTCGGAAACGGGCCAAAATACCGCAAAGCAACATTCGGGCAGCGTGTGACGGTCTCATTGGCCCTTTGAAGGCCATAATTCGTGCCAAAGGTGACCAATTCGAACAAATCTTAACTCATTCTAAAATTTCGAAATTTTTTGATTTCATTCAATAAAATTAAAAAAAAATGTAAAAACTATGAGTTTGACTTTGTTGCGGTTTTTTATCTCACCCTGTATATTTCAATTTTAACCCGGTAAGTCACTATAACAGCTGGTATATTTATACAATAATTACACTATATATTTAAAAATTTATTTATCTCTTTCTAGTTTCTAAAAAATTTTAGGAGGGCCTAAAATTATGCTATAAAAGTACCAAATATATGTGACATATGGCTAACATGATATGTAGTCTTTTTCAAAACAGAGATCCAAATTGTCACAGGATTTTTAGGATACTATCTTCTTTCTTTTTTCAACAATTTTTTCAAACTCAACTGCGTGATCCAAGCCTGTTTTGAACAAATCTACAAGGTATCTTCAAAAATAGTAAGTAATGGAGAATGAAATTTAAATTTATTCAGCTTTTATAGTCTCAATGGTCCAGAAAAGAAATGTAATTGAAAATAGTCACTAAGAAGAAAGTCTAGGAGCAGGAGCTTTAAGAAAGTCTAGGAGCAGGTCCGGGCGACTAAATGAGGAGATAATGATGTGGACCATTACCGAAGAAGAAGAACCGGAAACGATTGAATATTTTCGATGTCTTAAAAAAACGCTGCAATTTTTTGTATCGCAGTAGTGAGAAGCAATATCAGCCAAATGGCCACCATGAGCACGCCTGCAGGACCATATTCTTTTCATGAAATTTTAGGTAGGCAAATCGCAAAAATATTCGTGATAAAATTCAAGCGTGACAGTGTGATTTCTTTAAATTTGGCTGGAAACCACAAGTGGCTATCGTTAGAGCATTCCAGCATTTAAATGTGATTAAATATTTTCATCATGAGAGCTGAACATATCGCAATGATCCATTCGGCAAACATTGAAAAATGGACTCAGGGTAAAGTCATTGGAATTCCAAAAAGTGCAAGAACTTACACCGCAACAGAAAGAAAATAGACTCAAAAGAGCTAAAGAGCTGCTTCGATTGGCCGAAAGTGGTGAACTGCCGAATATGCTTTTCTCCGAAGAGAAAACATTCGTTGTCCAGCAGTTTGTAAACAAACAAATTGATCGTGTTTACTTGCAAAGAGGTCAGCTAATAATGTGCACCTTCGTTGGCAACCAGAACTCAAGCGCCATAACAGCCGATGGTCGCTCTCCACCGGGGCATCACAATAAATGCCGAATATTATCGCGAAAATATTTTGGAGGACGTATTAAAGCCTTGAGCACACAAACATTTCGGCCGCAGACCTTGGACATTCCAACAGGACTCAGCACGTGCAACCCAAGAATGGTTACAAAATGAGGTTCCTCGCTTCCTTTCCACAAAGCGACCAAAATCTCCGGATACCAATCCGTTGGACTATGTGTCTGGAGTATTTTGGAAAGCAAGTTTGGTACTGAAAAATACCAAAGTGTCGATCACCTCAAGCAAGCGCTTCGCCGGGAATGGGCCAAAATACCGCAGAGCAACAGCGTGTGACGGTTTCATTGGCCCAATTCGAACAAATCTAAACTTATTCTAAAATTTCGAAATTTTTTGATTTCATTCAATAAAATTAAAAAAAATGTAAAAACTATGAGTTTGACTTTGTTGCAATTTTTTATCTCACCCAGTATATTTCAATTTTAACCCGGTAAGTCACAATAACAGCTGGCATATTTATACAATAATTACACTATACATTTAAACATTTATTTATCTCTTTCTAGTTTCTAAAAAATTTTAGAAGGGCCTAAAATTATGCTATAAATGTACCAAATATATGTGACATATGACTAACATGATATGTAGTCTTTAACAAAACAGAGATCCAAATTGTCACAGCATTTTTAGAATACCATCTTCTTTCTTTTTTCAACAATTTTTTCAAACTCAACTGCGTGATCCAAGCCTTTTTTGAACAAATCTGCAAGGTATCTTCAAAAATAGTAAGTAATAGAGTATGAAATTTAAATTTATTCAGCTTTCATAGTCTCAATGGTCTAGAAAAGAAATGTAATTGAAAATAGTCACTAAGAAGGCAATGGACACAACTATTTTACCCTCTAAATATTACAATTAAATATTTAATAAATATTTTCTTAAATTAATTGAAATCGATGGTTTCTCCGAAACACTGTTCGCCAAGCGATCAATAAATCAATGTTGTTAAGGCATTAAACAACAATAACAAGAAAGCAAATCAAAAGGCATTTACAAAATGAAAACATAAATGAACACAAAAAAATAATGAATCATGCAATCAAATGGAACATAGAACGGGGAAAAAATACAAAATGAATGAAATAAAATTCAAGTCCTTTGGACTCAGCGATAGCATGGTATCATTAGTATTGAAAGGAAGCTACTTACCTGTATTTGCTGTTCCAGCTCATGGACAATGTCTTCACGAGCCAATGCCACTTGTTCCTGTAAACGACGTTCATATTCATCGATAATCTTTTGAATGATTTGAGTTTCATTGTTCGTTGTCAATTCATCCGTATCGATGATGATCAATGAAGTATTGTTGTTATTATTATTTTGTGCTCTGGGCGATGATGATGATGAAGCATGTAAATCACCGGCATTGGCCTCTGTCAAAGTTGTGTTATTTTGTTCAGGACCTTCAGGACTTAAGTCCTGCTCCCGGGTTTCATTGGCCTTACGCACCGTCAAAAGTGTCATATCTTCGGTATTGACAGAACTTTCTTGAGTCGAGTTGAGTGTGGAATTTTTATGGGAGGCCTGTTATCGGTTTGGTAATTGGTGTTTTGTTTTCGAGCACATTTTGTTAAATACATTTTTGGGGGTTAGCACAATAACATCCATTTATATATATAGTTTGTTGCGAGTGTGTGTTGGTTTTAGCCAAAAAATAAAGAGAAATTCAAATGCGAATACATGCTTGTTAACACAACAGCAGTAAGTTTTAGAATTTATGTCAAACAAACAAATCACAGCTTCTTTGGTGGGGAGGAAGATTTTATTAAAGATTTTATGCCGGGCTTGGTAATCAACCTTTTCCAATCCAACAAAGAGAAACCTTTCGTCATAAAGAGAGCCTATAAGTGTGCAATAAAATACCAAATATATCTGTGTCATGAATCTAGCTTATAACAAACCATAAATCCATATTCTCACAGCGTTTTTAGGGTACTTCTTTATAAATTAATAGCGGAAACTTATGCTAGCATCTTCTTGCTTTTCCCTACAAATTATTCAAAGCATTGCCTTATCTGCTTTGACAAGTTTAGCATGCTGCTGCCTCAACCAACAGCACGTGTTGCGTCAAGCTTCCAGTCAGCATAAAAGAGCCGTTCTCAGAGAACTAAAATGTCAGATAACGGTGGTATATTAACATTAAAAGTATAGTTGTTGAGAAACATATCCTCATTTACCAATATGATCCCTATGCTTACTGAGCTAAGCTGATTAATAATGGATGGATCTTATATTCGGTAGATTTTTAAAGTCATCCCGAATTCCACAGCTATCTGTGATACGATTTAAATATGAATCAAGTCTATCAAGTCAAACTAATTGACATATCGTTATTAGCCTGTCTGAGGCGCCATCATCATACCACACGGTATCATACCACACGCGATTACAAAGCTAACCAGAAGTATTAAATTATGCCACAATGTAAGTCTGTGATCCACGACATAACTCTGATAAACCACTGTAATTAATTCTCAAAGGGTATACTGAGCGACAACACAACAAGACGTTATCAGTCAGGATGGATATCCAGATCTACCAGACCGGCACAAACGAGCTTCTATAACAGCAGTCCTATCAAGAAGGACTGTGTAGTATTTTCAATTTGAATTAACTACAGAGAGCGGAACACATGTCTGGAATGTGGTAGAGACTCACTTGACACACCACATCTCTTTAAGACACAACTAAACCTACTCTACTAAATGTCGTTATGTATTCAATCAATATCGGGCGCCTCTTTTTAAAACATGGAGTTAGATGAGAGCCTGATTAAATATCAGAACGAACACAATACAACATAACCTACTTTTGAAAGACTATAATATTAAATGCTGGGGTATTTTAATGACCAACACAAGTGGGGGGAACTGTATTTTAAGTAGTAACATTACGTCAGCACTGTCAGAGCAAATTGACTGCTCCACATAAGCTTAATGATAATTGCAAAGTTTTCTTACAATCAAGAAAACTGCCGAAATGGAAAAAGAAATCTGCAAGAGCATAACATGACCAGTGACTTTATATGTCATTAGTCAAGCGGTCCTCAAAGCTATCAAGTCAAGTGTCATTAAATCGAGAGTCGCTTTTGACTGCAAGAAAGTCCTCTTTGAAACACGTGGCCTCATTTAGCTTTGTTGGGTTCCAGGACATTGCAATATATAATAAAAATAAAGTGGCTGATGAATTAGCTCGAGGTGGATCCGATATACAGATAATTAGCTTGAGGCGGATCCGATATACTGTTAAAACATCAATAACCTATTAAGTTATGTACCCAACTACAGTTTTCCCCATAAATTGTGTCTTCTCCTGTTCGCCTTCATATCTCTACTATCTCCAAATTTTTTATTTCTTTCTAGAATGAACACAGTGAACCAAAGATCTCTGAGTTAAGCTGTTACCGATTTCGTGTAGCTTCGCATCCTTAAACAAAACCAAATTGCTCCACATTTTGTTTAGTGGAACACCACTGTTCTCCAAACATATCTCTCATATCACCACCTAGGATGAAGCCGTCTACCTACAATTATATCCATCAGGAGTCAGGAAAATTGCCCATCAATTTTAGATGTTGAGACATCTGAAGTGACTGTCCAAAAAAATATCACAGCTTCAAAATATCAAATCGAATTTATCAACCTGAGCGCGATAGAGCGAAACGAAACGTACCCTTTTTGTCATCCAAGGTATTCGAGCCGTACGGAATCTCAATGGTAACGTTGGAATATATGGGTGAACCTTGAGACTAGTACACATCGTTACAGGAGTCTAGATAGTGGACATACTGGCCTCGCGACTGTATAGAGAATCCATCTAATGAGAATGACACAGACCCGCATCACGATGGCCGCCAGTAGCTAGAATCTTAGGTTATAACTCCTCCACACTGATATGTAATAGCTACCTGATATGTGATACCTACCTACCTATTTGCGCGACTCGCGCTTTACGCAAATTTAATAAATAACCAGTAAGGAAAAGTCAAAAGTTAGGCGGGACCGATTATACGATACCCTACACTACTATTAGTAGATCTCCCGTAACAAAAGAATTTATTTGAAGTAAATCAACATTTGGCTTTAGAGCAGTTATAGATGGGTTACAGAGGGAACTAATATAGAGGAGGCATATCCAATTCTAAATCGATTTTCACTAAATTTGATGTAGACATTTTATCCTTTTATACCCAAAAACATTGATATAGAGTGCATGATATCAATTCGAGAAGGATTATATTAAAAAATATATATACCGAAATCATCATTGTTGTCGAATGCATATTATGAATTTAAGGGACTTAAACACCAAATCGGATGAAACATATATATGGGAGCTATAGCTATATCTGAACCGATTTGATGTACTTGCTTCTAGACTGAATTCGGTGGCAAAAATTTAGGTCATTTGAACTAATATTGGCCATTTGGCGCACAATTAACCCGAAATCGGTTGAAGATATATATGGGAGCTATATAAAAATCTGAACCAATCTTGATAAAATTTGACAGAGGTACTTCTGTGATGTATCTGACATTTGGTACTAAATATCGTTGTTGTGGAGTGCATATTACGCATGTGAGGGACTTAAAACCCCGAAGCGGATGAAACATATATATGGGAGCTCTAGCTATATCTGAACCGATTTTTGATGTAGTTGCTTCTAGAATGAATTCGGTCAGATGTACCAATTAGGTGCACAATTAACCCGAAATCGGTTGAAAATATGTGGGAGCTATATCTAAATCTGATCCGATTATCACCAATTTCAAGGGTTCGTCCTTGGGCCAAACGAATATTGTTAGCAAAATTTCATCTCAATCGGATTATAATTGCGACCTACATTTTGTTCACAAGAATACATGAACGGAACGACGGACGGACTGAGATGAATAAATCGACTCAGAAAGTGATTCTATGAAGATCCACAGAAGTAACTATGGGTCTATCTCGCTTCCTTCTCCCTGTTACAAAAAATGCACAAAGACATAATACCCTTACCACTATGTGGTGTAGGGTATAAATACGCATCGCATATTGACTAGTCAACTAGAGTTAGTCAACACCGATACTGAATTTCTAGTCACTTCATTTGCTGGTACAATATTAGGCAGGGGGAAGCAATGCTCTTCACACTTAGTACACGCTGTATACGATGGCGACTCAAGTATTTTATGTACGCTTGAACCTTTAAACGTAAGACAGTCAGGCTGTCCTCAGGACAGTCAGGCTGTTTATACTGCCCCAATTCATATAGACTTTACATAAGCATTTTTAAGCTGGAAGTCTATCCTTCAGGACTCCGAGATGAGTTTGAAAGCATAATCACAGTACTCTTCACTATATATCTCTCATTTACTATGCAATATTCTGACTAAAGGGACAGAACATTTTTATATGGCATTGCTGCCAAATGACGGCAATGAATAAGCAGATGAATTGGCCAGATCCGAGTCAGTAGATCTAGAGATCGATAGCTCAGTGAAGCCACCATTGTGTCAGTTCTTTCAAGTATTACATAAGCATTACCTTGGGAGATTTAATCAGAACTGGCTGATTGGAATGGGATGTAATATCTCCAAAAAATATGGCCTGTGATCTCCGAACGAAGATCAACGTCAAGTGGGCGACGACACTGAATACTGCAGGCTCTGTCAGGACGAGGAGGAAACCGAGACGGTGGAGCACTTACTCTGCCACTGTTCAACTCTTTATGGAGTCAGACAGAGGCTACTGGGTAAGCAAATTCTACCCAACTTGACATCTTTTTCTGAAACCGAGCCAGCAGTCATGCTTTAATTAGCTAGTAGATTAGATCGCTAAAGACAACACGCTGATCACAACGTGAATACAGTTTCATCCTCTTCGCTTCTTCCTCTATTTCTTCTAAATTTCCCTTCTGCTTTTCTTATTTTACCTCATTTACGTTGAACTTCTTCTCTAAATAGGATGAACACAAAGGACCGAGCGGAGTGGTTGTGTTTTAAACAACCACACATGGCTTGTGAAGGTTAGGTTAGGTTAACCTTTACAAGCCATAAAAGTTGTCATTACACTCTTTGTCCTTCTTACCACTATCCAATCTAAAATCTTTTCCCCGTATCCAGGATAAAAACAGAGTTCGGCGAGTGAGGTAAACTAAAGGACTGAGAGATTTCAATTTAACGTATTATTTGGGTTTTTTAAAGTTTCGCTGATAAACTCTATGGGGATTGAACGATGATATGTAATACAAAGTATTATTTTCGTTCTTTTTTTAACCTTGTTTGAAATTTCCCTCAGAATATTTAAAATTGAAAGCAAGGTTGAAATGAATTCATAGGAATGAAACTGTCATAATAGTGCGATTCTCTAACTCGATTACGGAAGAATCATCAACATTTGCCGATAAAATCAATATTTCAAGCGTTTTTAATTTCCGTAATTAACGAAATTTGTCGGTAAGTTGCGACGAAAATAAAGTAGTCGCTAAGACTTACCGATGGAAATGATTTCAATTTTTAGATGAACAATTTGCATTTGAATGTTAACGATTTTTGTCGGTAACGACAAGCAAAGACAAAAGACAAATGGACGAAGAATAAAGCATATTTTAAGGCGCAAAAGGTTTCATTATTTTCAAATGAATTGGTAACATGATGATCCTGATAAGCTTGAGATTTGTCAATAGAAACTCCCCCACACCAGAAAAGCATGATTATGTTTGTTTACACGATTACATCATCTGATAAAATGGAATTAGTGAATTTGTTTTGTTAAAGGATAATGCAACAGTCTTTAAGCAAAACAACATGCCATTGAAAAATGAGAAAAAGTGATGAAAATTTATATTTTATACTTCTGCTTACCATAAATTCATCTTCCGGATAACGCGATTCATAATATTTTAAACGATCACTTAATTTCTTGATGTTATCCTCTTGGGAACGTTGAATTTCATGGATTTTATTTTGATAAAATGTTTTCAATTCTGTTATTTCCAAAGCCAACTGGTAACCAAAAAATAAAACAAAATAAATGTTTACAAATATGTACTGTACAGAGAAATAAAAACCCACCTGTGATCCTTCATTTGCTGTTGCTTCTTCATTGACACTGTCACTGCCGGGTGTCATTTGACGATGTGAGGGACTTAGTAACAATTCAGCTCTATAACGTTTACGCGGTGAGGTTTCTTTGGAACGTGGCAGAGATGGAGATTTATAGTCCAGGGATAATTGTTCCTGATCGGACGATTCCGGCGAGGATAAACCTTGTCTTTGGGATTTTTGTGAAAAAACATCATCAGAGAATCTGAAAAAGTACGGATTTGTTTAGTAAATTTGTTTTTCTTGGGTATTCACAATGTAAGGGTTAATACTTCGCTTTTCCTTTTTTATCGGTTGGCATGCTTGGTTAACGGGAGAAATGGATGTGGATTAGTGTTAGGCATTTAATTTAGAATTTGTTAAATAATAGGACAATGTGGAAAAGGTTCACATAAAACGTAATCGATATTTAAACACATCGATACAGGAAATTATAAAACTTGTTAAATTACTCAAAACAAAAACTCAAAATGTATTTTTCATGTATTTTATCTTTTCAATATTTTATGACATCCCATTGCAACACTTACTGTTTCTCCAATTCAGCACATTTGGCCTCAAAGTATTTCCTTAGATCTTCCATTTCTTGATTATGTTTTAATTCTCGTTCTTGCCGCTGCGTTAACAATCGTTGAATTTCCTCATCTTTTTCTCGCTTCTCAGTTTCCCATTGGTCCATGACAATTTTTAGCTCCTGTTCACTTTTCATTTTGGACTTTTCCAGTTCTTGGCACAAATAATCGTCGAATTTCTTTTGAACCATAAAGAAGAGACGCACTTCACTTGGCGTAAGATATTTTTGGAATTGTTCAATTTGTTTACTAAAAGGAGTTGATATAATTTCAGGCTCATGGGGCATATAGTCGAATTGCCGTGGCATCGAGAGTTGACGTTCACGGGAATTGCGGGAAAACTTCTCCTCATTATCGGTAAAATAATGACGTTCAAAATCATCATCACTTTCACTGACAAGGTCCATGGAAATTTCCGATATACGTTGGCCAAAGTTGCTCTCCTGATCGGCTCGTGGCCAAGAGGGACGTTTAAGCGTATCCATGGCATCGGTAAGTTGTTTGCGTAACAACTGAACTTCGGTGGCTAATTTTTCACTTTCCGCTTGAAGATTTTCCCGTATGGTCAGGGATTGTTGTAGGGAATCTGTAAGTTTGGCAATTAATTCATCACGTTTGGTCAATTCCACATAGATGTCCATGGTCTGGAAGAATCAGAATTAGAATAAAACAAAATTGGAATTAAAAAATATATACAAATACCTGTTGTCCAAAATCTTCTTGGAGTGTGCGATATTCAGTCGAGTTTGTGGCCAATGAGCTAGTCTCTCTACCCGACACCGAACCCAATTGTTCACTGGATTCACGCCTGGTAATATTTTCCAGTTGCATATTTAGCGATGCCAAACAAGCATCTTTGGTGGCCAACATTTGTTGCAGCTCACCCACCTTCTGTTCCAGCATTTGTATCATATTAAGGCTAACAGCAGATGTACTGGTCGATGTGGCCTCATTGGAGTTTAATTCCATTTCGTTTTGTTTAGCCTGAGCTTCCAATTTGGATGCCAAAGCGGCTAAGGATTGTTGTTCATCCTGGGTGGACAAAGAATTACGTTCACTCTCCTCGGTAATATCCTCTAACACATCCTTGGCAAATTCTACCAAAGATACACGCTCCATGGGTTTAGGTTGTTGATTATTTGCTTCGACGCTGACAGCAGTGGGTGATGTGGAGGTTTCTGCCGAAGATAAAATATTCTCTCGCATAGCCATGATGCGACATTTCATTAATTTTAAATCGGTTTCCTCTTCATCATCATCTTCTTCGGTGGAATCCATAGTGGAACTGCCAATTTTGGGTCCCACACTGTCAGGTTTCATTATTCTGGAATTACTACTTAAGGTTTGATCTAAGTCTTCATCAATTTTCGTTGAGGTCAATGGCTTTTCGGGATTATCGGGTAAACTGTCATCCAGATCGGTAACAATTTCAATGGGAGGAGATGGCTCTACCACAACAACTCCACAACTTTGAACTTCTTGAAAATCTGCTGGCTTAACGAAATCTTCTGTGGCATATTTCAGACTTTTTAAACTCGAATCTGGTAATTTGGATTCTTCTTTCTCTAAAGACTTTGTAGCTTCAAGTCCGGGTAGTTGAAGGCTTCCTAGAGGTTTAATTTTCCCTATCACTGGCAATGCCTCTGCACCTTGCATTGCTAATGTTTCCTCTTTGGGATCTTTATTTTCTTTATTCGCCATGTAATTTTTATCTGGCGTAGTTTCCATCAACAAATCATTGATCAGGGTTTCATTATTGGCAATATAACTGGGATTCAGTGAGCTGATTTCATGATCATCCAGGGTGATTTCCACTGAGGGATTTGAAGTCATTAGCTCTTCCATTGATTGATCTTTTTCACTGTAATTCGAGGAAGACCCTGATAAAGGTTTTATGTCGGGATTTTCAAACAATTCTGGCAGCGATGCTTTTGTGGCTGGAACTCTAGCCAATGGCTTGAGCAAAACCTTTTGTGGCGCTTCAGATGGGGCAGGACTTGCAATATGTCTCGAAGTTTCCGAGACCTTTGATGAAGTTTTAATGCTTTCCGGTTGTTCCAGAGAAACATTGGCCTTAGACATAAGTTTTTCTTTTTCCAGTCTCTCCAGCTTTTCTTGATCACTTGCTATGCTCTGTAGCGTTTCTGATTTAGGGATACTTTTGGAAATGTCTGTAATAAAAAAATAAAAGGTAAATAACATTTTGCGAAAATGAACAATGGGAAGGAAGTTGAAAGACAGTTTTAAAGAGACAAAATCCTTCGAAATTTGTTCATTTGAGATAAAAATTCCGATTTGAAAAATGTTTTTACTAAGATTTTGCTATTTAGAAAACAGTCCTCACTGAGGTGACGAAATTTGTTTCTATGGGAATATATTCCTAATTGAGGTGTCAACATCTTTCATCTTTTCATGAAGGTGTCGAAATTCTTTATATAGGACACCAATTCCCATGGAGGAGTTGAAATTATTTCCTATTGGAAGCCTGCCTTCAATATAATGTCAAAATTCTTTCCTATGGGGAAACAGTCCTTAGAGGTGTCGAAATATTGGTTGTAGTCTAATTGTTTCCTATACGAAACCAATCCTAACGGAGGTGCAAAAAATATTCTCTATAGGAAAACTTTTCTCACAGAGGAACTGAATTAAATTCCTATGGGGAGACAGCCTTCACTGATGGTTTTTTTATTTTTCCTATAGAAACTAATCCTAACGGACGTGTTGCAATCTTACATTAATAGCAACGGACCTCACTGAGATGTCAAAATTTGTCCTCTAGGAAACCAGTCTTAATGGAGAAGTCGGAATCTTTTTTAAAACAAAGCAGCCCTTACTGAGATGTCCGATTTTTTTCTATACGAAACCAGTCTTCACGGATGTACCGGAATTTGTACCCATATGACCTAACTGTCAGAATTTTTTTCCTGCAATACTTCTTGAGGTAGCGAATTTAGGAATTAAATTTGAAAATAGAAAGAAGGCAAACCCTTACCTTTATTACTGTCGCCGCCGACGGCTCCCTCAGGCAGCGATAGCGGATAATCTCCTTCAGACAACAACGAATCAGGCTCTTCGATAGGTTCCTCGTGTAGTTCAGACACATCATGGGAGGTACTTTGATTGCTTAAACTTTGTTCCGCTTGGTTATTATCTTCCAGTCCCAGACTGAGACTTTCTTCCGATTGTGGCACTGATTGGATTTCATGTTTATCTTTGGGTAAACTCACCGACAACTCTTCGCTGTCTTCCAAAACGAAATGTTGGGCTAATTTACCTCCCGATAACTGGTCGTCGTCTATTTTGAACTGATCATCACCATCAATGGAATTCTTTTTACTCTTTCCACTGGGAGTGAGTGGTAACTTTTCCGAATCGCCAACACTTGACAGATCCGATAGATCAATGCCAAACATTTGGTCAGATTTTAAATTCAGTGATTGTTTTTTACTTGGACCTGGTAGGGAATCTAAGGATTCCACCTGCTCATCGCTAACTTCTAGAGCTTCCTCGATTTCTTCTTCAATTTCATCGCTTGGCTCATCACTTAGACTAGAGAGGATATTTGTGGAACTTTGTTGTGGCACATTACTCTGGCTTGTGTTTGTTGTGTTATTGGTTCTGCTAATGGCAGCTGACGACGTTGTCGCTGTGGTTGTTGGTCTTTCACTGGCCGTCGTCGCTGATGTTGTTGTCGTCTTTTGAGAGCCCTCCATTATATCAATTGTAATGGAGCTGGTTGGCTCATCGAAATATGTTGATAGCGAAGCTGTGTCTGTTAAACTCAACGGTGGCACCTCCTGCTGCTGTAAAAGTTCAATGGTATCCACTGAGGAGGATGGGGAGTCGCAGACTACTTGATGTTGTTGTTGCGGTTCTTTTTGTGGTTCTGGCGATTCACTTTCTCGGTCTGTTGTCTTTTCAATGGTAAACGTTAGACGTGATTCTGTTGCCGATTCATGTTGCTGCAACACGATACCGGGAGGTGTTCGTTCATGATGTGTTGCACAGCAACCGGGTAGACATTGTTGCAAGTGTTCACACGATAAGGTTCGCGGAGTATGGCTGATAAATTCGAGTGTTGGTATAAATTCAATATTATTTATTGTTGTTGGTGTTGTTGTTGTTTCATCAAACACTCGATGTGGTGAAGGTGGCTGCTTCGATTCTCCAATATCGCTCTCTGTTGCTGGTTTGGCTGCATACACCACAATATCTGAATTGGTATCTTGACTATTGGTTACATTTAAATAGGGATGTATTGTTGTGGTTGTTGCTGTTGTAATCGGTGTGGATGTCTTGTAGGTTGCACGTGGACGCAACAACGAAGTGATCTGGGGAAGAAGACAAAAAAGAGAGAAGAGTTATTAAATGCAGAAAAGGTAAATAAATAAAGTCAAAGTGGTTCTGAAGGCACTTTTAGCATGGGAAATATTTTTATACTAGCTGGCCCGGTCCGCGTTGCCGGCCCGTAGTTTTTGTCTATTATGCATATTTTCCCAAGCATAATTATTCACTGATATGACTGATATAAGTGTTCACGTACTGGTCGATTAAAAGTGTTTTGAAATACCTGTGCCTATATTTAAGCCGTGGGCTTTCATATTTAAACCGAGGGCTTCAAATGTGTGGATGTACAAATCTATTAAAAAGTATATATTAATCGTATCCCCATGTAAGGGATTAAATTAATTTTTAGTATGGTAAAAATCGTAGCAAAATTTTCCAGTCAAATGAGCAATAATTTGGAATTTACTGTATTTTCTACACCTCATAACTGAGGGCCGAATGATTTAAGAATAGCCAAAGTTAATTACTTTTTTTAAACCCAGTAACACCTTACATTGTGCATTAGAGTCCTCATAAGTCCCACTAACCATGTCTGTCTGTTTGTCCACCAAAAGGTGAACTTGAGGGGGTATTATTACATGGAGAAAATTCTAAAATTTTGTAGATATCTTGAAATGTTCGTGTAAGATTTTCACCCCGCAAATACACATTTTTAGCCAAATCCTTAGAAATATGGTAAAATCAGGAAGTACCTTTATATGGGCACTACTCCGACCTACATTGAAAACTTTCTTCTACCTCTTATAATCCAAGATGACAAATAGAGGCCAAATTAAAAATATAGCGGAACAGCATAGCATGTCAAACTGAAAAATTCGAGTGATTTAAATAAGCAAAAATAGTTTTATCCACCTCATAAATGAGGACAGAATGATTTCAGAATAGTCAAATATAATTACTATTTTACACCCATTACCGTAAGATGGGAATCATTTTATTTGCCATTTAAATTGTAAGTTGGAGACCCCATAAAGACCATATTTTTCATCATAGTATAATTCAGTGACGACTCAACAAATATTTGGTCCCGTGCTACTTTCTTATATTTGTAATTTGTTCATGTTTTCACAAATTATTTCATATAGATCTACATCCCAAATATACGTTCCTAACCAATATTCTCCTGGGGGTCACAAATTCAATAGAATACAATATTTTCTTTTCTGACCACACATTAGATGTGAAAGTGGACTTGGGGATACTCCAATATGGGGACTTTACTTAAATAAATTCCTATGTGGAACTCTGTATGATGGTTCCCCACCCCAGGGTAGCATAAATACAATTTTTTAGCCAAATCAATTGATGAATGTGGTCAAGACAAATATTGACCTTATTCTGAAAATTTCAAATTTTATGCGAAGAGGTTCTCTACCCCTTAGAAACAAAGATGCCAAATAAGGGCCAAACAAAGAAAAAAGTGGCCAAGACCGCAAAAATATCTTAAATCATACGGAGGTTATATAAATATGGGTTAAATAGGGTTGTACCCTTATCCGAGAATTATGATCGATATCATGACCTGCAAAAGCGATTTAAGGTATCTTGAATGTTTGGAAAGGATAGAAATCCTTTTCTTACTAAAAGTCCCATTCGCTCTACTATTTTGCACCCTTTATATTTGGTATTTTACTGATTGCACTCCCAAAGAATTTTGTATTTTGAGCTCTCATTGGACGGATTATTGTCACATGAAAGAAGTAGGTCCAGGCTTTGAAATGAGCCCCATTAGGTTTTTTTCGGTCATTTTTGTTTGTTTAAATGTGTTCGCATCTTCCAGCTGAAAAACGGTGTAGGCCCTGGAGTTGAAAGGTAGATGTCAGTTTACATAGTATTTCGCACTTATTTAATTTTTTGGTAAAAATTATATAGATTGAAAAATTATTCTTTATTTTGTTCACAAAAAATTCCATTGAATTCAATAAGATAATACAAATTGAAAAAATCTTCAACTTGTTCGCTGATTTTTTACAGCAAATGTTTAAAGATCCTTGTAAAGATTGTCAATAGAATGTACTATTATTTTTAAATTCGATTCCAATGATTTTTTTTTTTTTGGATTTTTTTCCGATTTGAGAATTTTTGCAATGAGATCTCTTTTTTGTGATTTTTTAGCGATTTTGAAAATGTAATTATCTTTAACTTTGGTGTGACCGCGTTCAATTATTTCGATATTCCATTTCGCCACCACATAATTCGGCACTACACTTCCATGTAACCCGCCATCAATATCAGTTCTCAAGAAATCAAGTCAATTAATTCAAAATAAAAATTCAAAAATAAAATATAAAAAACACTACAAATGTACATTAGAAAAAAGTAAGTCAAAATGAAAAAAAATCATGCAAAATAAAACATTACTATTGTACATTTCAAAAGTCAAAATGAAAATGTTAATATATCACATTTTTACGTGATTTTTTTGGATATTATCCTTTTCGGAGAGGAGACAATTCCTAATTTGTGTGAATCGTTAAAATCAGTCCAGCGATTCTTAAGTTATAAGCGTAGTAACTAACACAACTTTCTTTTATATATATAGATAGTAAAAATAAAATAGACTTCTAAAATTGTATAGAAGTATTCCAGCATTTTAAGAAGGTTTCTAAACTTTGTAACTACAGTAGTTCAGTAAAACTCTTTTCAGATGTAGGTATTTTTATGGTGAGTACGGGTTAAAATTGGATCTACCAACAATATAGGTATCATTTGACAATAACTATCTGAAAAGCATTGTCGGTTTTGCCAACAGATGTATACCCTCAGCCAATGTTCGATTATTTAAGCATATTTTGACTTCTGTTATAATTGTTTAAATTGTTGACCCTCTATGGAGTAGGTTCCGAAGGAATGGGCCAATATCGTCCATTTCGTATCGGACCTAAATAAATATCATATAAATATTACGACGTGCCAGGTTTGGACCATATTGATTAGGAATGTGATAATTTTGAGAAAATGTTAAAATGTTCGTGAGGTACTAGATATAGTCAACCGAAGATTTTGGTGGCCATTGTGTGCTGGAAATGAAGCGAGGAACCTCATTTTGTAACAATTTTTGGGTGGACAATTGAGTCCTGTTGGAATGTTCAAGGTCTGCGGTCAAAATGTTTGCATGCCCAAGGCTTTAATACACCCTCCAGAATAATTTCGCGATAATATTTGGCATTTATTCTGATGCCACGGTCGACTAATACGAGCGGAGAGTGACCATCGGCTGTTATGGCGGCCCACACCATCACCATGGCCGGCGCTTGAGCTCTGGTGGCCAATCGAAGGTGCAGATTTTCAGCCGATCTCTTTGGCAAGTAAACACGATCATTTTGTTTATTTACAAACTGCTGAACAACGAAAGTTTTCTCATCGGAGAAAACCAAATTCGGCAGTTCACCACTTTCGGCCAAGCGAAGCAACTCTTAGCTCTTTTGAGTTTATTTTCTTTCTGTTGCGGTGTAAGTTCTTGCACTTTTTGGAATTTCAATAGCTTAACGCCGAGCTCATTTTTCAATATTTGCCGAGTGGAATATTGCGATATGTGCAGCTCACGAGCCATTTTTCGGCCACTACGACGCGGGTTTAGATCAAGTCGCTTCTTTACTTGTTGAACCATCCACTTCCTTGACGTCGGGCTACGCTACCAGTATCACGGTAACGAGCGATGGTACGAGACACAAAAGATTTAATTACATTAAAATGCTGGAGTGCTCTAACCATAGCCACTTGTGGTTTTCCAGCCAAATATAAAGAAATTACACTATCACGCTTGAATTCCATCACGAATAACTTTTTTTCTGGAAAATTCTCACCAAAATGCATTTGTACGCTTGTAAACAATATAATGAGCTGTCACTGGAATAATTTTAACAGCTATGGGACAAGTGGCTTAGAATTGACAGCAGTCTGAAGTTGGTTGCAGTTTTTTCATCTCACCCTGTATAAAGTTCTACTATTTGGACAATTTCAAAAAATAAAATCCTTTTAAAATCTTAAAAGTGCCGAATATAGCCATTATATTGGGGTCTTTACGACGTGGGCCTACATAGGCATTGTTTGTTATAAGCCATTACCATATTATAAACGGGTATAATGTAGAATCTTCAAAATACCGTATATAGGTAGGTACCGTTATATCGGAGCTATACGGAGACCTGGACCTGCATACACAATTGTCTGTCACAGGCTGTAGCATCCATCACGAACTTCAAATACGACATCTCAAACAATTTCGGTAAGTATTGTACCTAAAATCGTCATGATACCGAATATGGGGGGCCTATACAAAGACCTGGGCCTGCATAAAAAATTTTATGTCACAGACTATAGTTCCCATCACGAACTCTAAATACGTAACTTTAAACTCCGGTGAATAATGACGCTAAAATCATCAAAATACTGAATATTGGGAGGTGCCGTCATAGGGGGGCTATACGAAGACGTGGACCTGTACAGACAATTTTCTGTCATAAGCTGGAGTATCTATTACGAACTTCAAATGCCAAATTTGAAACAATTCCGGTGAATAATGTCGCTAAAATCATCAAAATACCGAATATCGGGATGTACCGCTATATGGGCGCTATATGTAAACGTGGACCTACATGACCCATTTACGAACCTGCCTACTGGTAAAATAAACATGTGTACAAAATTTTAGCCTTCCATCTCAATTTGTTCGAAAGATAGCGTGATTACAACAGACAGACGGACATCAAATAAATCGACTTAGAATTTTATGCTGATCAAGAATATATACGTTGTTGGGTCTGACATGAGTATTTCGAGGAGTTACAAACGGAATGACAAAGTTAATATACCTCCATAGAATGGTTGAGGGTATAAAAATATCTACATATTTTCAGCGGTGTCCTAAAATTAAGTTTAGGCACAAAACTCGTATAAAATTCAAGCCTCCCTTCCTAGAAGTTGTATTTGCATAGCCCAGTTAAATTCTCCCACAGCCTCAACATTTTGCATTTTCATGTGT